TTTATTTATATTTTAGCTTACACCGCCGAGCATGCTGCTAACTGCGGGAATAGTCTCGGATTCCGCCGCAACATTAATACCGTCAACAAATGAACAACAAACATACCTGTACTCTGGCGAAGAGAACTATCGCCTACCTGACCTGGTTTTTTTTGTTTGTTTGTTTGTTTGTTTGTTTTTTTTCGAGCGAAACTTGCGGTGGGTTTCTCATCATCTCGAGTTGCGACGCTCCTTTCGTTGGTGCCCTGCCAGTACGGTTAGAAACCTGCGATACTGCCGTCTGAACTCTGAAGCCCGATCACGAACTCTGGTGATATGTAGGCAGCAGGACGAGCCAATTTTAAATCTTTGTTCCTAATACGTTTACTACGCCTCCAACGCACAATGATTACTAATACCACCAATGCGCGGCCAACCTCTTATTACATACTCGCCCGGCCCCCTTTTGGTCACATGATGTGCCGACGTAACGAGGCTTGGTTCCCTAGCTGTTAACCTTTGTTATTGCATAACCTCATTAAACGGATTAGCACCGACTTATATTAACGATCTACTTATAAGAAATTGTGATATTCATAATAGGAACACTAGGTACTCGAAACTAAATTTAAATTCCCCAAGATACAAAAGAGAGACTGAGGGGGGGCGTACGTTTACTGTTAACACTATCAAGGCTTGGAACAGTATTACCAGTGACTTAAAGAAAAGTCATAGTCCAAGTATTTTTAAAAGAAACTTTCTTAAATACTTTTTAACAAAGCAGCGAGAGACGCTTACTTTTGAATCTTTTCTAGCTCTTTGACTTATTTTATCTTAAATATTCTTAGTATAATAATATAACATGAGTATAATTACCTACTAAATGTAAATAGATTTAGCATTGTCTATTCAGTATAGTTCATTGGGTGTATATTTTTGTAATTAGGAATATGTATATATACCCTCATCTACTGACTCTATTATGACAGCAAGAGTTCAAACATTAAAGTGTCTATGACACGAAATTTCACCCCAAGAGTTTATGGTTGCATTGTAAAGATCACTTAAAATGACTTAATAATTTCTTTTATACAATTTTGGCAGCCTAGACCTAGGCCTTCTAGTCTTATTTATATTTTTTTTCATATTCAGCGCTTTTTCACATGAAAAGACTGGGACTAGGTGATTTGGGGGCGGGGCGGAGGAACCAATTTTCGCTTGCGTCAGGCTTGTGTCCTTCCTCCGCCCCGCCCCCAAATTACCTAGTCCCAGTCTTTTCATGTGAAAAAGCGCTGAATATTAAAAAAATATAAATAAAAATAGAAGGCCTAGGTCTAGGCTGCAATTTTGGTAACTTGCTCCCTTTTCAAGATATTCAACTTTGTCCCATATGCGAATATCACCGGTGTGACATCACATCATGTAACGAGTTTTCAGAAAAGTATAGTTTTCTTGACGAATCAAACGTATCTAAAAAAACTTAAAAATTGCCTTGCATATGTATTAATTTCATAACTGGTAATTAACCCTCTGTATTTGTTTGTAAAAATATTTTATCAAGGTAAAATATTGCGTTTTCAAAATGTCATTATGTGATGTGATGTCACCACACCATATGAAACAAAGTTGAATATCTTGCATATGAAACAAAGTTGAATATCTTGCAAAGGAAGCAAGTTACCAAAATTCTATAAAATAAATTACTAAGTCATTTTAAGTGATCTTTACAATGCAATCATAAACTCATTTGGAGTGAAATTTCGCGTGTCATAGGTACTTTAATTATGGACGAGTTTAAATATGATCGATATCGGGAATTATCAGTGGATCTATATTCGCATTATACATGTATGTCGAAGGTGAAATCTCGAACCTTGAATCAATAAATTAATAAATCAATAAATCAATAACAATTATTTAATGAGATTGAGCATAATATGAAGAATTATCAAGCCAGAAGTTTGTGTTATCAAAATTGTTTGTTTTCCCCAAATCTTTCCTTTCTTATTTCATAAAGCCTAGTTTCCATTTGGTCGTTAGTTGTCGCTGGCACGACAAGTGGCTGATGTAATAGAGTGTCAACAAAAAACTCTGCAATCATTAAGACTGATTTGCATATCACACAAAAGACTGATTATTATATTAGATTATATAATACCTTATTGAATTCTAGTCGTCGTGAGCATCCCAAAGGGAAAGCCCAAAATAATAGAGACAAGGCAATTTAAACATTTCAATGAAGTCCGATTTCAAGATGATTTAAAGCAAGCACTAAACACATACTTCCATTATTTATATACAGACCCAAATTTAGCTTGGCAAATTTGGAAAGAAGTATTTTTAAATATTTCCGAAAAACACGCGCCAATTGACCATTTGCGTAATAAACTAAATTTTGATCTCAACAAAAATTTCATTACAGCTTGAAAGAGCATCACAAAATTAGTAATATTCCAAAGTTTCGTTGCAAAATGTTGTAAAATGCGGAAAATATAGCCTTGCAAAGTTTCCAATTTTCAGTCATTTTAGAT